CACTCAAGTAACCAGCACTCAGATTGCAAAAGAGAACAGAGGCTTACAGCTTCCCATCCCCCTCCCTCCATCATCCCCATAGTTCCTGTCCCAGTTTCTAACGTGCCCGATGACCTTAGAGATACTTTTTCTTCCTGTCCTTTCTTCCCAGTTTATTTTATTGTGGAAGATCACACAGGGAATCAGTTCCTATGAATTATTTACAGTGCATCAGCATTCTTTTTCGTGTGTGTGTGTGTGTGCGTGTGTGTGTGTGTGTTTTCATCCAGTCATCAGACATTTGGTTTTCTAGCATTAAATGCCGTTAAGTCAAGTAATTAATTACAGTGTCTAATCAAACCTTAAGGTGAGCTCTGGTGGCTTAGTGGCAAGAAGCTGCACTGTAGTTCCAAAGGCATGAGATTCAAGGCCACCAGCTGCTCTGTGGGAGAAGGATGGGCAATCTCAATTTTTGATCAGTTTTAATGATATATAATCTTTTCTAGTATAAGATACCTGAGTTTCTTTGCCCTGTATTTATTTATGTGCTCTTGGGTTGTTTCCAGCTCTTTGCTATTGTAAATAATGGTGCAAGAAACAGGGGGGGTAAGTATGTCCATTTTTGTTGCAGCTCTTAATGGTGCAATAAACATGGGTGTAAGTATGTCCATTTTTGTTGCAGCTCTTCTTTCTGTGAGATGTACATACCTAGTAGCATAGGGATCACCTTGGAATCCTCTCTGCTGTTCCTACCAGATGCCCCAGCGGTTGCTTAGGGCCTACAGTGTTTCTCACAGTCAAGCATAGGAAGTACTTTAGGTTTAGTTTAAGGAAAGTCAAATCATTTCGTGGAAAATAAGCCTCCAGTGGAGCCTTGATTTTTGTCCCTGGCTCTGTGTTGAACTTAATATCCTGGGCGTCTGTCTTTTGACCTCAGTGTTCTTTTCTGCCAAATGAACAGATTGTATTAGATTCCTTTTAAAAACCATTCTTGATGGTACTTGTGTCATTATTTACTGTGTACTACGGAGTAACAGCTTGGTCTAAGGGCATGTTATTCAGGGATTTAAATTCTGCCAAAGGTTGTATTGACTCTTTGGAATTTCTCACTTCCTAAATTACTGCCAAGTTTCTAAGCCAGCTTCCCCTCAACTTTTTCTTGGATAGAAGAGTTCCTGAACTGTTAAAGAACTTTTATTCCTTGAAATTCCTAGGCTGAACCTATTTTTATATTTTGTTGAATCCAGGTTTTGCCTCACCTGATGTAATACCTCTGTCTATAAAATGACCTTATGATTCACGGGAACTATTTTTTTCTCTATAATTATATTTTATTAATTTTCATAAACATTTACAGAGATTTTGGGTTTCCATTCATTCATTGTTGCACTATTCTCTCTACCCTCCTCCCAGTTTGTTCTTGTCCAAATGCCACAGTGCTTGTCAAAGCCAGTTCTGATTAATCTTTGTCGGGTGTCCTTTGCCATTCCCTATCACTCCTCCCTGAGAGAGACTTCACCCTGAGTCATAAGGAAAAGGGGATGGCGTATTCTCTTAGCTACTTCCTGCTGAAAGGGACGCTGTGGGTTTCAGGGTGAAGATCTTCTCTCACTACTCTAAAGGGCCCCTTTGGCAGTAGGAAACACATAGACTATTATGGAGATTGATTTTGGAATTTAGATGCACTCTTATTGATTGTGCTTGGCCGTACATGTTCATATCCTTGAAGATGTATCATGGGGGTGTTGCAACCTAGAAGACACAAATTAGACTAACAAGTTATAAGTACATGAGTCAAAAATTATGGAAAAGTAAAAGAAAAGATTCTTTCATTGTTTTACAAACCCCTCCACCATGTAGCCCTTGCTCTAGACTCCTGTGATGACAGAAATACCTAGTCATATATCTCTTTTAAACAGTGTTCTCCCTCCTCTGTTTCAGTGCCGTATACATTATTGAACCCATCTTACTCAGTGTCTCCCCAACCCCAAGGACAGTCCCATTCTACAACAGTGGCATCATGTAATATTTGTCCTTTTGTGACTGGGATATTTCACTCAGCATAATGTTCTCCAGAGTCAACCATTTTGAATAATATTGCATGAGTTCCTTGTTTTTTAATGCAGCATAGTATTCCATTGTGCGAATATACCACAGCTTCTCTAGCCATTCGTTTGTTGATGGGCACTTAGGTTGTTTCCAGCTCCTTGCTATTGTGAACAAAGCTGCAATAAACATGGGTGTGCATATATCTGCTTGGATGTCAGCTATGGTCTCTTCAGGGTATATTCCCAGTAGTGGAATTGCTGGGTCAAATGGTATCTCTATTTGCAACTTTTTGAGAAAGCGCCATACTGCTTTCCACAGGGGTTGCACCATTTTACACTTCACGGGAACTATTAAGCCTAGACTCAGATCTAGTGATTGAGTTCATTGACTTACTGCTTTTAAGCCATGTAGGTTGTGTAAATATGGACCTTTTCTAAGCCTGTTTCCCTATCTGGAGAGATGACTAGCTTCCATGTCTGCCTATAGGAACTACCAAGTTGATTTGTGAGCTTGTTTAATAAACAGTTAACATTCTGTTTACCATTAGTCATGACATGAATCATTTAGGTAAATGTTGAATAAACTCGTTTGGTTATCATGTTCTCATAGTCACTTAGCCAAGTGTGTGACCTGGACTGATGGGGATTAGAGCTCAGACTTTTATGTCCTTTATTTTTAAGGCTTTTCACTAACCTAATCTTTGAAAACGTGATCACCTCTGGGTTAGTAACCACTTAACCCATTTCTGAACAGATGGTGGGCCTCAGGCATTATAGCAAACCTCAGTTTGCCTCCAGGTTTGTCCAGGAAGGAGTCTGTTCTCTTTTTAGGTTAGCCTTCCGTAAGAGCAAGAACCTGTTTCTAGGACTGTAAGGATCTATGAGATAATTTTCCAGTAGAATATTGTCTGTTGTTACCCTCAAGTTCTTTTGGAACCCTCTTACAGTACAAGTGGCATTAAATCAAAACTTGAATTCTCAAATGAGCCAACATCGCTGTTTCCAGTTAGTTAGAACAGCTGCTCAAGACTATGTGACTAGAATCAAACCACTTGCCGCTTCTTCTCTATGTCTTCGTCTCATAGCCGGTTTTCAGAGGCTGTGAATTTCATGAGAGGAGATTATTCATCTTTCTCCAACAGAGCTGCTCGTGGATTTAGGCTGTCAGAGAGGGCATAGATTTATTTTGGGCTACAGACTACACCACCAGAGCTTCCTGGCAACTTCTTAGCAAATCCAAATAAGAACTGGACAGTCATTAGGATACAAGGACATAAGTAGCAATGATCACTTGAATGAGCTGTGTTGGCTTTCATTTTTGTCAAAATTTACCCTTGCTTCATCTAGTAGCCTCACCCTGGGATATGGAATGTAAGGCATTAATGTTTGTGTAATGGCTTTCTCCTGAGGAGTGCTTGGTGACACTTGGCTGTTAAGGCAGGCTGTCAGTATGGAGAGTTCTCCACTAAAGTTTAGGCCAAGTGCTTTCATCTTGTTACTTTCCTGAATTAATGCAGAAGTAGTTCTGATGAAGAGCCACTTCTTCTGCTGTGACCTTCAGATCTAGGGAAAATGATCCTTCATGCGTGACTTCTACTGACAAGAGTTTAGGAATCTATAAGAGAGTATTAATGTCACTTTATTTGAAAATATTCTTACCTAATATGGCACAGAAGTCTAAAAAAATTTCTTTTTGTTGTTGAGGATATTCACAGCATTCCAGCAGTTCCTCCCCACACCATTCCCTGACACCGAGAATGTTCTTAGTTGTGAAGCTGGCCGTCCTCATCTTCTTTTCCCTGCCTTGCTCTGCCTCTGACACCAAAGTACTACCCTTCCTAAGGCTTCCGTCTAATCTTTCAAGCTGTTGTCAGTTTGATCTCTTATAGAGAAATCTTTTTTTAAAAAAATAATTTTTATTTATCTGCCTCTAGGGATTGGAGACAGTATTTACATACTTCTAGGTTTATTTTACTATATCAGCATATCACACACATTAGTATGTAATACATATTCCTAAGAATACTAAAAACTCCTCACTTGTTGTCGAGTGGATTCTGGCTTGTCAGGACCCTCTGTGTGTTTGTGAGGCTGTAAATCTTAAGGTGTTCAGGTGCTCATATGTGTAGCTCTTTACACCTTGAATACCATAGATACATTTTAAAGAGCACAGTGTTTAAGACAGACATTTTTTTAATAAATTAATGTAAATTACTGTTTTAAGAGGACTGCAGGAGATATTTTGGTTTAAAATGTAAAGATTATCTCAGAGCATTATTTTCATCGGATCATCCAGGCATTCCGACTCCAGAAAGTCCATAGTAATTTGAATTCTGGTCTAGATTTCCGGTCACTGCTCCCCTTGTGCATGGGATTTTTGTGTAGACCCATTGACTAAAATGTGCACTCATGGTAGTCAGGGCCTTCCAGTTCTTTGGGCTTCGTGGCAGAGGAGGCAGAGTGTCCATGAAGGAGTCAGCCACGGGTCTTGGATATCCTGATCCAGAATTTTTCTTTTCTTTTTTTTTTTTTTTAAAAAAAAAATCCCTTTTTTCTCTTACTGTTTCAGATATTTGGACTAGGATTGTTTTGCAGGTCTAATTGTGCTCTGAAATGATACATTGCCCCGTCCTGAAGATCCCACAATTTTAATGGAGTCCAGAGAACCATCACTTAACCGTGGTCAGCCAGTGACTGGTCTGGATACAACTCGGGAATCTCTGGCAGAGACTCTTGACCTTTTTTTTTTCTGTTTTCTTTAGAGGTTAAACTTCATCCTTTTTTAACAGAGAATGAAGAAGAGAGGGATGAAGGGACTGTTGTCATTGTTAAGTGCAGCCTAGTAAGCTAGCAACCCTCTGTGAGTTTTCGCCACTTGGGAAGTGAAACTGACCAGTACGACTGAAGCCATCTTGCGGTCTGCTTCTCCCTGCTCAGGTTAACCGTGCTCTTTGCTCTTGCTCTTGATTGCAGGTGTGTTCATCCTCGAGGAGGTGTGATTCAGAGTGTTTCTTCGTGGAAGCATGGCTCAGGCACGCAGTACGTCAGCAGCCGGCAAGCACAGTCATGGACTGCGGTGACTCCCCAGCAGACGTGGGCTTCTCCTGCGGAAGTCGTTGACCTCACCTTGGATGAGGACAGCAGACGTAAATACCTACTGTAATCCGCTGTCACTGTGTTTCCTCCGCACTGGTCCCTCCCACGCCCTCCTCCCTTCTGTGGCACAGAAGTTCATTGTCATAGCTTCAGCCTCAGGAGCTCTTTGTGGCATTTGTAGAATTGAAACTCATGGAAAATTAAGACCCCTCCTCCTTTTTTTTTTTTTAATTAAAAGAAGTCACTTAGGAAAATAATTTACCAGAGAAAAGAATTTCTTTCAGTAAGAATGTGAGAATGACTTTTTATTAGACAAGTTTATTTTACTTAGTGACTTTCAGTCTTAGAAAACTCTCCTTCCTTTTAGGATATTTTAATTACCAGGGAAAATGGATTTCAGGTTTTGAATCTTTTATTTATTTTTCTTTTGTAATGAAATGAGTATCTAGACTTGACCACTACCAGCCCACTCCATTGGCACTCCTACCTTTAGGGCATTTGATCATATACCAGGCAGATCCCTATCAGTGGTACCTAGGAGGGTATGCACATTCAAAAGCTTATCTTTAAAAATAGAAGACAGAAGTATTACATTTTCATTTATTGTAAGTCTTCTGTCTTTTTTTCCTGACTTTGCTTCCGGTTGACTTCCTGTCAATAAGTGATGCACCCCTTTGCATTTATAAATACTATTATGGTGACTTAGTTGGTCTCCTCATTGCAATAATTTGTACTCTTTGGAACATGTCTCCTCAGGCTGAGGCATTTCAGGGAGATACCCACCATGAGAGGTTGTCTGGGTCCCAGAGAGAATTGAGAGATCAGTGGCATAATATTTCTTCCTAATTCTCTCTCTCTCTCTCTTTTTTTTTCTTTAAAAAAATCCTGTTTATTTAAATAGCAGGAGAATAGACAAACCTGCTGTTCAGGTAAAATATAAAAAAATTATATGGCTCTAAGGCTCCAAGCACCTGCAAACCTGAGAGGAAAGTGCCTTCCTTCATAGCTGGTCTCTAAAGGTATGTAACAGCCGCTTACCATCCGAGCTGAAGCTGACCTGATGCTGCGTGTAGGAATTTTCCTCTACTACCCTGTAAAAGTGGGAAAAGAAAAATCTACCCCAAGAAATCGTATGTAAAGCCTATTCATGGCTCTGTAGGTTTTACAGTATGCATTGAGAATAGCAAAGGGTAGTGGGAGCTTCAGGGAATTCAGGAAATGCCAGCATTGGAGCTTTGTGGCATTAGTCACTACCTTTCTTCCAATAACATGTAGTAGTTTAGGAATTCTTTTCAAAGCAATACCTAGAATAAGAACACTATGTCTGTGCACAGGGGGAATTAAGTAACATTGTCTTAGAAGACTTCACCTTTTCATTTGTCACTGTTTGTTTATTTTGTTTTTCCATTTGATCCATATAACTTCGCAATGGCCCTTTGTCTCCCTTTCCAAATGCCTTGGTGGCTCTTGCTTATCTTAAGAGCACAAGAACTAGAATTTTTCCTTTTTCATTTAGTGAATATACATTACCAAGTGCCTGATCCGCATAAGGCACTGTGTGGGGTGGGTGTTGCGGGGCTGCTGAAACGAATGCACCCAGCTTGTGCATGCATCAGAGCCTGTCCAGCCCTCCTACCCGGCCCTCCTGCGGGGCGCTCCTGCCCAGCCCTCCTGCCTGATGTTTTTTTCTTTAAAGACAAGTATTCCCTGACCTTTCTTCTTGCTGCTTTGTTTCTTCTCTATCTCTTTCTTCCACTGAGGATGTATTTCAGCATGTGTTTCTATCTTCTCTGATAACATCTCATTTGACCTGGCTTCTGTTCTCCTTCAATTTTTGTTTCTTCTCCAAGCTACTTTTAATAAGGCAGGCTTTTTTTTCCCCCTTTAAAAAAAAAAAAAAAAGAAAAGAAAAATATGAACCTCCAGTTTTCACACCTCATCTATCAGTTTCTCACATGGCCACAATTCTAGACAAAAACCAAAGAGCCAGTGGCCAGAGCAAAATAAGACCTTCTGCAGTAGCATTACTGCTGTACCCTTGGACCGACACATTTTACTTTAGGATTAATTTATTGAATTTTACTGTTACGCATTATTTTTTTACTTGAATTAAAATGCTAGGCAAAGCAGAAATGTACAATTTCTGGTCTGTGTTTTCCAGGAAAATCACTGGGAGGGGAATAAGGGCAGATTATATGACTTGAAGTTTTTGCAGTTTATTTTTTCCCCAGTACTGAGATGGGTCCCCATGCTTAAAGTTAGTTTTATCACCATTGTTACTTTAACAGTACGTTTTCTCCAATCCTGAACAGCAGGTCGATTGCCTATGGCATGGTTTCTTTAGCCCTTACTAGTTATTCTCTAATGGGAGAACTTTCTGGCATGCTCTGTATCCCATAGATTAAAGCAAAGAGTGGAGTGTGAATCAAGCTTTTCTCTTGCTTTTCTTAGTTACATTAAGGGTTGCACTTTCCCCTTCCTTCTTCTAGTCGACCACCCTGACTGTCTGATTTGATGGCTAGAACTGGGATTTAGAAATGAAGATATAAAAAGGGAGAGTGGAGCTCTCTCCCCTACTAAGTTGGGACTTTTCCTTTTCCACCTAAATGAACTCAGAATAGACTAGGTTTTAACCTCTTTTTTTGTTGCTAAATCCACAAGAGTGAGGGTGTGGTTTCTGGAAATGTATTAATGATAAACTTCTGTGGTAAACAATCCTGTGATATTTGAAGTTTCTTTTAAAGGCAGATCAATATCTCCAACATTTTGCATTTGGTAGCATAAGTGATTTTTAAATGCAGTCACATTTCATAGCACAGTATTTATTAAAAGTAATGGCTCAGCTGAAATGGTGTTCTTGAGTCCTTCCTAGATGGGTTTATGCCACAGCTTTGTTTGCATTTTCCTTCCTTCTCCACTTTGAACCACAGAGCTGTGGCCTTGCTCCCGTGCCATCGAGTCCACTTGCTGGCCCTGGCACGGGATTGCTGCTGTCCTGTCGTTGTCCTTTCATTGTATGATGGAAGAGGCCAGATTGCTTAGGCATCAAGCTCTATATAGTGGAGCCTCCATAAACCCTAACTTTATCGTCATAACCAATTGTGAATATGAACATCTGATTTGCTAGTCAGTCCTTTGTTACTTTAAGCAGTTTAAGCACCATGCCTAACTTTAAAAAAAAAAAGAATTTGTCGCCTGCTTTTTATACTATTTTATCACAAGGTTTTTGAAGAAGTTGAGGACACAACTTTGGCTTTTAGGTTTTGTTTGTTGTTTTTTTTTGTTTTGGTTTGGTTTTGGTTTTGGGGGTTTTTTTAGGCAAAGAGCCTCTAATCCCTCCCTGTTTTTCAACATGTGTATGATGTGACTTCCATGTATATATAAAAATAATTGCGCCCTAACCAAACTTCCTCAGATTGTGCACTGTTTGTTTAAAATAACCATGTATTTTAGTCCAATGCTGTTGTATTTTTTTTTTCATTTTATTTAAAACACTACGTATTTCTTATTCTGTAACAAATTTAAAGGGTAGTGATCTTAAAAAAAATCACTGGATAACTAGGAGATATTTTTTGTTGTTTTGTGTTTTTATTGTTTGGCTTTTTTTTTTTTTAAGAGTACAAAGGTCGCCAAAGCCTTTTGGTCCTCTTACCATGAAAATGAAATGTTAGCCATTGTATGGCTATGAACCGGTGCACTTGGTGGTTGATCTGCTGTTGCTGGACTTGGAGTGTGGAACTTGATGCAGTGACGGCAAATCATGGCTTAGAATGAACGTCTTGAAATGTGCAACTTGAGTTTTTAAAAAAGAAAATTTGGTTCTTCTTTACATTCATTATTTGGAATTTTGTTTATTTCCATTTAGTATTTAATGGTCTTTGGAGAAAAAAAAATAAAACAGAGTGTTATATATATATTTTTTGGTGCAAGATAAGATTTTCTGTTTTTGAAATAAGTCTGTAGCATAAAAGGTTAAACTATTTTAAGATAAAATAAAATAGAGTGTATTTAAACAATTCTGTTTTCTGAGAGGTTGTTTTTGCTCTTCTGTTTCACTTTATTTGGAGGTCTCACAAGTTATCTTTTTATGTACAAATGCATTGTCCTGTTTTTTTGTTTATGTTTGTTTTTAATCTTGATGTTGTTGTTGGGAATATATATAACAACACACAATCCAACCATTTCTATATGTACAAGTTAGAGACAGAGATAGTGGGGGCTTTTTTCAGTTGTGCATCTATTCTCAACCTCCTTTTCTGAGTTCTTCTTCTCTCATTATAAGGAACTCACTGCCCCCAAATCCTATCCTGTCTCTGGAACTGCTGTTTGATTCTATGTAGATGGTTCTTAAAGCAACATAATGCGCAAGACTGACCTTTTTAACTAGTTAAGCTAAACTAGTGTTTGGATTTTAAGGTGACTTCGGGGGATTTTTATTGTTGTTGTTGTTGTTCTTAAGTCTTAAAGATTAACTCAGAACACTCGTTTCAGAGATGCGTCCAACCTCCGTGGCTCCAGAAATGTAGAGAAATTTTAATTCTGTTCTGCATTTCCTCCTTTTTGATCAGGATTCAGCTAGGCATTTGATCAAAATGCTCAGTAATCGTAGCTAGGTACTGTCTGTACTGGTCTCATGGCAGAGGAAGCAGTTGTCGATGGAAGGCAACGCGCTGCATTTTCCTTTCCCCTTCTCCCTGTGTTTGGTTCTTCTCTGTTGCTTCAGGCAAATAGAGACCAACTCTAATGCTTCAGATGGGTGCATGTAAGCTTTTCATACTTTCAAAACCTAGGCACTGTGAAGCAGACCAGGAGGTAGACCAGAAAAACGTTGATTACGCATATTAGAAAGTGAAGTTGTTGCTGTTATGTGCCGTCGAGTCGCTTGCGACTCATAGCAACCCTATGTACAACAGCCCTAAACCCTGCTCTATCCTGTGCCAATCGCACTGCCTCAGACACACCTGACACACCCATCCCGATTACCTGAGTCATTGAATCAACCCACCTCATAGAGGGTCTTCCCCTCTTGTGCTGTCCCTCCACCCTCCCAAGCATGATGTCCCTCTCCAAGGACCTGTCCCTTACATGTTATAAGCAACATGTCCAAAGTATGTCAGACGAAGCCACAGAATTCTTGCCTCTAAGGAGCAGCTTGGTTTAACCCTCTCCAGGATGAATCTGTTTATTTTCTTGGCAGTCCTTGGTACATTTAATAGTCTTCTCCAGCACTACAGCTCAAAGGCATCAATTCTCCTTCTATCCTTCCTAGTCATTGTCCAACTCTCTGATACATAACAAGTGATTGCAAAGACCATGACCTGTATCAGATGCATCTTAGTCTCCAGAGTGACACCATTGCTCTCCAGTACCCTGGAGAGGTCCCTAACAGCAGACTTTCCCATCACATACGTTTTTTTGATTTCCTGGCTGCCAGTGCCAAGAGTGTTGACCATGGAGCCAAGCAGACTAAAGTTTTAGGGGTTTTAAAAA